CCGAGACGGTGCCGCAATGGCCACCAGAGGCTTTCTCACTCCATACCTGGGCAGGTCCAGGGCGTGGAGCAGCAGCGCGGACAGAGACAGAGAGGAGGACGGGTCCGTCTTACCTTGAGGATCAACTTCTTTTGCCATCTTGAGCGCGTCCGAGTTGGCCAGATCCATGTTGGCCGGCGTGACAGCGAGGATCAAGCTGCTCTCCCTGCTGATGAACTGCAGGATCATGTCTTTGATCTGGTACTCGATGTCCTGCGGTTGGTCCCCCACCGGCACTTTGGTGATACCCGGCAGGTCGATCAGAGTCAGGTTCAACACTGAAAGGACAGAGACCGCCCGTGTTCGGGGTCAAGAGCCCGGCTTTGGGAGCTCTCGGTCTTGCAGTTGGATCTTTCGCATCTGCTGAAGGATCCACCCCTCTGCAAGCCCTCAAAGCCCCTCCAAAAGAAGAGTTACTGCTCTGTTTGCTCAGTGGGTGGCCCAGGCAGCCCCCTCCAGCCTCCAGGCCGCTGTAAGATCAGCCAGACACACGGAGCAGCCGACATTTGCCTCTAGGACACAGGCTGGGCTAAACCCCACTGCCGTTGCGTACGCAAATGCCTTTTTTTTTTTTCCTTCTTTTGCAGCGTTTTAACACATGGAGGCCTGGGTCAGAGAAAGAGCGCGCTCACCGTGCGGCGAATAGACGCGGAGGTTGATGGGGATGGGAGAGATGCCTTTGTTCGTTCCCGTCACCCTGTCGGTTTCCGCTTCGATCTCCTGCCGCACCTCATCAAAATCTGTGAACTTTTTGGATTTGCAGTGCAAAAACTCAGCATATTCTGGAAGAAATAAACAAATAAAAATTAAAAGAACAAAACAAAACAAAACAATTTGCCAACTCGAGCCCAGCACAGGACGCACACCGAGATTCAACTGGTTTAGCGACATTTCTCCGTCACAAAGCAGACCCAGCCGCACGGTTTTTGGTGCGACACCGAGCAGCCGGGCAGAACCGGTGCCCCAGAGAGGCACCGAGGACCTGCCCAGGGATTAACCTGGTTGCCTTCAGCCTCCTGCCTGGCAGCAGCCCCAAATAAACTTGGCCTTGCCGTTTCCTCTGGCTGCGGAGGAGAGGCCGGGAGGATGGCAGCCAGGCGGCTCAGGCTGGGGCACG